AGCTAGAAGTATCATGCCGGCTTGCTCGCGGCAAAGCGATGCTTCGCAAAGTAACTACGGGTCATTCTTTGCTGGATGTCGCTCTTCAATTTAGACTTTCCTTGGATGTTGAAAGCGAACGTTTGATTAATGTTCGGTTTCGTGTTGAAGATCCAACAGTTGATCTGTCGAGCGGTAAGATTCTTCTGAAATGGTTTCTTTAGAGCTAACAAGGTATGGTTTTGGTTTTTAGGTGTATTTGCTGCATTTGTGAAACAAACCTCCCCAGTAGAAAGTTCTTCTCCTCAGGAGGTCACAGAAGAGAGCGGTCGTCAACAGGCATTACCCTTTTTGGCTAATCTGTCAGATTTAAGCGTTGAAATGAACAACTGTCTCATAAAGTACAACGGAGCATTGGGGCAGGAAAGGTAGTCGTGTTTCTCACTTGGTTGGAGGTGTTTCTATTTAATTTGACTTACAGTCGTACTATGAGCCTATCCCTTCGTGGATTGTCATTATCGAAAAATGGTGAGAAGGGACGAGCGCGTGTATCTGGACTAACTGTAGAAGATCAGGGCCAACGTCTGGCACTACGAACTAGTCTTATCGTACTCTCGCAAGAGGTTAGCTGAGAGTCTTCTCATCTGACGAGCTACGCGTAACTCTATCTAAAGGTTCATCAATCCGGGATCAATGTACAAGTCTCTTCGGATAGCGTGCAGACAAAACTTTCGATTGAAGACGTTGTTTGGTGGAAAATGCATGCGGAAGATCATGTAATTTCTCTTGTTGGAAGAAGAGTGGTCAGTTCTAAGCTAGCATATTATCATTCACGTCTATTGAGCTCCTTACCAGATGTGCTTTCTTTTTTTAGGGACCATCCAAATCAGTGCCCCAGCATAGCTTACCTATCATTTTCGCCATAGAACTAGCCTCTATCTCGTGTGATCTCGTCGATTTGGACTCATTTCAGTCGATTCTCTCAATGCAATATCTCAGTGTCATAAAGGTTCAGCTTTTAAGATTTGTTCATATTCTCCTATTCTCTTTATCATTTCATTTCGTTCCTATCAGACTATACATTTCAGACAGCAGAAGTGCTTGAAGTTGGTGTTGATTGTTTGTGCATCTCTGCACCGAATGTAGATATCACAAATGCGACATTTGAGCACCACCAGTGGAATCATTCGGTGGGAAATTTACTTTCTTGCTTGATTAAAAAGAGTGAAATGTTTGTTTTAGGTGTATGTAGGTGCAGCACTGGTACAGTGCAATCTAAGTGATAATGCCCGAGGCATTTTAGTTGGTGTAGATGACTGTAAAATTGAATGGAGCGATAAACTTGCGTACCAAGTAAGTACTACGATGTCTGGATTTTGGAAGCGGAAAGGATTACAGTTTATTCTTTTCTCAGGTTAAGCAGTTATTGGAAGTTCTAGCTGCAAGCGAACCGCATAGTGAGAAGGATGATCTTTCTAAGAAGAAAATCAATCTAAGATTGCAAATGAAGAGGTACTGCACTCCCTAGTTCTGCCTTTCGTTTACTTTATGACTTTTGTTTTGGGGCGGCACTGATATCGGTAGCTAAAGAAGTTGTCTACTTGGCCCTAACCTGCGACGACATAGAAGCAGAAATGTCAGCAGGACGGAGTTTTGCGATCTCTATAGAACATACACGAATAGTGGTATGAATTCTTTAGTAGAGAGCACTTAGTTGCCCCAAAAAGTTGAGGCTAGTACCCATCTATATTCATCTACGCCTGCCCTTTTAGTCTGCTCCTGTTTACGAAACTGGCGTTGATCTCTTGCTTCTACGGAAGGTAGCAAAATATGTACCACCCAGAAATCTGGATTTTGATTTTACATGGCGCTGCTGGAATCAGTCTAAAAATGATGCGTACGTTTCAAGAATTATCTCATAAAATTTGATTGCCAGTATTTCAATTTAGACGTAAGTATGAGCGAGCTGCTGCATGGGACGAGCGAAGAAAGAATAACCCATTCTTGGTAAGCTTGCAGGCGGCTACTTTTTGAATTTGATGAACGGAAAATTGACTTACTATGTTTTCCACAATTATGCATCCATTCTTTTGAGTTCTTAATATTTTGTACTTTTAGAATCTTGGTTGGATCTTTTTTTCTTTGCCAAGGTTCTAACTATGCTGTTACCGTTATAGACTAACATATTGCTTCTTTTGTCTGCAATACACATAATGGCTTACAAGCATCGTTCTGAAGTCTGAATATCTGAACCGGAAATATTTGGCGACTCAAAATGAAGTAAAAATACTCTGACGACAATGAGTGCAGTTAACGTGAAAAAGAAGTAATCAATGTGGAAGTATTTAGGGACCAGAAGTTTAGTGATTTGGTAATTTGTGTCAATTAAGTGCTTTGAAACGAATGTGCTCTGCCTCACCGTTGAGATTTTGTCCCCTCTCATAACTAGCGTAACATGCTCATCAAGCTCACCGATCTATATCGTGTGGTCCCCGCTACTACATCGAATAATTTACCATATGAGTCAAGTGATAATGAGGTAATTTATGCTCCTCCTATTTCTTCTTTGGTTAATATCTTATTTTATGGTTTTAGGACTTTCCAGCAACCTAAATCTGGTAATGGCTCACTGCAGAAAAGCCGAAAACAGACGCAGTATCGTGTTCTGACTAACCATGCTATCGAACTAATCTTAGAGTTGCCTAGACATCACAGGTATCCTAGAGAAGCGAGCCGTGCTCTAAATTAGAAAAGTTCATTCTTTCTGTTGAAGGATGGTATGGCGGATACCTTCGTTAACATTCGATGCTTCACCAAGCAGTCTCTCCGCTGTTTCACCGAAACTTGTAATGACTATGGACAGTATGGACATCATTACTGCAATTGTACGTTTAAGCTAGCTGATCCGTGACTGTCGAGGGCATAGGATTGATTCATTTTTTCCTTTTACTGTACGCGCAACGACCATTCAGGATGTCTGCATCACTAGGCGGATATCTGATATGCAAATGGACAGCTATCGTCGAGGATTTAAAGAATTTGAGGCTCTTACAAATAAGGTAATCTTTGTAAAATATCTTGTATTTATGATCATCGTCCTATACTTTTAGGTGTGGACATGGTCAGCAGCGTCGTTTCATTTCTTTCTGCCTTTTGAATTCAGTTTTGCGCAAGTTTTTGATGAGGTAAAGTCGGTGATCCCTACTTGCTGTTTTAAATCTGCATGGAGCCTTATTTAAGTTTGTGAATGCCATAAAATGGATCAAGGTTGTCCATGGACTAAAGAAGGATCCGTTTCCACCTAACGCGCCGCTGCCATCCGATATTCGCGTCATTTTTAAGGTCTGATTCTTTTCTCCCCATGATAAATTATCAATCTTCTGCTTTTCTTTATAGGAAGCTCGAATCGTGCTAGAAGACGATCCTTTCGAGAGCTTGTTGCAAATGAGTCACGAGCTGAAAGAGGATGAGGTGCGCATAAGATAATTTTGCTCTTA